TCTCGCAACTCTGAAGAATCTAATTTTGTGTTCCGTTATTTCGTGTGAGGTATACTATATATCTTTTAGAAAAATCTCAATAAATGATTTGAAAAAAATGGAGTTTTTCATCCTACTTTTCTGCACCATGTGGGCTAATGAAGACGGGCAAAGCCATGCAGGGTGCAATGTAGGAAATTTTCCAAGGAGGGCGGCATTAGCTTGCTCTTTTTCGATTTCCAACTGTCGAGGGATCTTTAACGTGCACAGCCTGTAGCACACGGGGCCTCGGTTTATTGTCCCATCTGAAAGACTTAACGCTTTTTCCATGTCAGCCCTCTTACCTACATCACTGACAGGGGAAAACCGGGTAATCAAAGATTTGAGAATCAAAGAAGTGTGGCATAACTAAACACTTCTAGTAGCAATTCAACATTAGTTTTAAGTTGGGATCATACACCAATTTACTTAGTTTATGTTATAATATATAATTCATGCTATAGTCTCGGGGTAGAGTAAAAGCTGAATGTTGGTGAAAAAGTTTTGAAAAATCATATTTAATACCAACCCCCCATTTTAGGAAATATTAGTTATAACCATTCGACACAAAAATTCTAGCACCTGTTTATATGAATGCATTCAATGAAGACCGGTAACTGTTTTCTGCTATATAGACAATATTTTTACAGAACAACAACGTTTCAATGTTCCCTCGTTGTCCTTAGGCACTACTGTTAGTGGATGGCTAATAATAATAACTTTTAAATTAACGTACATTAATAATGATAGTATCAAATTGATTTTAATTATCAGTTAAGAAGTTTTTCTATATCTCTTATCAATACATTAATATTTAGACTGTCAAAAGCTACATGTTTTTGTGAACTTGCTAACAGGCTTATGAATGGACTAGTGAATGAGTTCAATAATAAAGCTGAATGAAGTAACGGTTATAGTCAATACAAGAAATAGACAAACAGGTGTAAACTCATACAAATTAACATAAAGAACTGCACCTTACATTATCTTCATATCAAATAATTAATATTACTATAACCTTCAAAATACTCATAACAAGGTCATTGGAATGACCCTGCCTAGATAGAGCTATGGTGACACAAAACACTTTTGGTATAAAACCTGGAAATAAGGGAACCTGTCAAATATTGTAAGTCTCCTAATCTTTTCTTATATTAAACATCAAATCAAAAAAAGAAATAATTTTTTTTTATCTGTCAGGTCTTGTCTCGTTTCCAGACTTGTGGTACAAAACATGCCTGTACAGAATGTATTTAAATAGATAGAGCAAATGTATTCTTAATAACATACAAAAACTTTGGAACATTAAATTTCTAGATACAATTTTTGAGTTTTACATTAATGATCAACAACTCCGCCTCAACTAGAATATAGGGTTTGGAAGCTGAAACCAGGCTGACTTTTAGAACCAATGATCATGGCATCTGAAATCAGTGTCCCCAACAACATACACAGTTTAGAAAACATCTCAAAGGGACAAATGCGCTATTCTTTTTACCAATCATATTTTAGTCTCAGAAACAGGTTTTTTTTTTTAGCTAAGCCAATAAGTAATAGTGTTCACAGCTCACCATCGAAATTTGAGCCTTCAAATCCGTGTATGTCTAGAATTATCTGTTCGCGTTTGAATGTTAAAATGATGACTCATCAATTTAAGATACTCTGTGATATATAGAAAAGACATTTATTGAAATAGTTAGTTATTTCCTAGTTTGAAGTATTTTTTAAAGGAATTATGTGATTTTTGCACATTTCAAGTAATTCTGATGACTAATTCACTATTTACATATATTAGAGACTAAAATCAATCCCCTAAAATGGGTCACCTGTCCCTTTAACAATCTCTGTAAAGGTTCCTTTTCAAATTGATAGTTAATTGTACTTTTTTTAGTACAACGAATAAAACCAAAATTAGACAAACAATTTTTCCAGATAAATAAATAACAAGAGGTTTGTTTATGAGTAAAGTCTATACAAGTAATGTTGTATTAACTGATTGTTGTTAGTTGTTTATGGTTGGTTGAATCTTGTCTAAATCTCAAGAACATATCTAACAATAATATTGTATTAAAGGGACATGTTTGACATTTTCGGGGGTTGATTTGAGTCTTGAATATAAGTAAATATTCTTCAGATGTACTAGAAATATACCAAAATCGCATTTATACTTCAAAAATACCTCAAACTCAGAATTTCATCTATAAATGGCAGTGTCTCAAGAAATGACAAGTTGTCTTTTTAACCTTCAAACACCGATAATTCTTCCAATTCTTAACTGGTCCTTTTAAGATATGCTTCACTGACTCGAAATCCATATACTATACCATATAGGGTTGAGTAAATTACAGAGTACTAGTATATTTTAAGATTATTTCTTTGATATCCAACCCTACAGATCCCAACAATAATATATTATGACATGCTTCACTGACTTGAGGTCCATTAACACAAGCAGGGCATTGATTTCCCATTTATAATAAATCAAGGCTTTAAATCATTCATTCCCTATTTCTCAAAAAATGTATATGTATGGGGTTTTAATTATATAAATTGGCTCTACAGAATTTCCAAACAGAGATGCAGTGGTTTAGTAGGTCTATTAATAGATGCAGACCTGAGACACAACGGCAATGAGGTATCAGGTGTTCCAAGCCTTGTTCTTATGTCATACCCAATAAGAGTTACATTATTAAACTAGATGCATTCTAACAGAATTTGACCCAATCTAAATATAGTTCATATTATATAGAATATCAACAGTTTTTGAAAATTCAAATATTTCTTCTCCTTATTCGCGAATTCTTTCTCAATATTTAAAATCTGACAAGATTGATGATTATCGATGGCATACTACTGATTAATAATCAATTAAAACCCAAGACATCTTCTAAATACTGAATAAAAAACAAAATTTCAAAATCATAGCCATGATAATTTCACCTAGCCATACCAGTAGGTCTATATACTATAAAATATCAGTTAGATATAAAAGGAGAGAGTAATATAGTTGTAGTTATTAGTTATGGATGATATTGAATAGACAGATTATAAAACCTTGATCAACATTCAATAGATAAAATACTTAAATCACCGAGTCTAGTTTATATCTATACAATCATCTTCACAATGTCAAGGTATTTTATATGTATATCGGGGACACTGATAACATTCCAGTGTTCAATCTGATATCTGTGGTTCCTACAAGTCCACTAAAAGTAAGTGTTTGATTACGTCACTAATCACAAAATATGCTTTATCTCATAAGGCCTTTTAGCGATTAGTGACGTCATAAAACACTTAGTTTAAGTGGAATTGCAGGAATCACAGACATCTGATTGAAAAGTGGAATGGTGCAAATTGATGCTATCAATTTCCCCAGTACACATAAATTTAGAAAAACCTTTTTACAATTCCTTTAAAAACTTTGTACTTAAACATCACCAGAAATGCCCCCTTTCACAGGAGTTTGTAAATGCAATGATTTGAATAGATTGTAGCAAATAGCAAATACAGCCAATCAGAACACTTGATTAATAGTTAATGCGTAGCCAAATTGTTTTAGTCTTTCTGCCGAGACCACTTATTGGCCGTATATCTTGACTACAATAGCCACCTTTCTTGTATCACAGAAGTTTGTAAATGCAGCCATTTGATTGGATTGTTCACTAGCAAATACAGCCAATAATAGCTCTCAATTCAAATTGTGGATTAATTGTTTACAGCTTTTTCAGTCGAGACCTCTGATTGGCTTTATTCTCTAGAAAACAATCCAATCAAATCGCTGCATTTACAAACTTCTGTGCTTCAATAATAGAGGCTATTACAGACAATACCTTGACATTGTGAAGATGCTATAGGGTTTATACAGGTCTATAGGGTTTTAATAGGTCATATAGTTTATTTACTAGTAAATAGGTGTATAATATACTCGTGAGAAGGTCTCCATCAAAGTTAGAAGATAATTTTAATTGAATTTAATAGTAATTAAGAGATTAATTTGAAGGAATAGACAAAATGGGTAGGTAGTATTTTCTAAACATTAAATTCAGTCTGAGTTAAGTATCTATTTTACTTGGTATATAATATATCGTTAGAAGGTGTCGCCTAAATTTAACTATATTTCTTATTAGATGTAGTAATAAATAAGGGATATTATAGCAGGAATAACTAAACTGGGTAGGTGGTTAATACTATATAGGCTTCAAACTTCAAACAGTAATTGTGGGTAAAATATTTCATTTCAACCACATATTGTAAACTCACAAGAAGTCAATCAAATATGATTTTATAGATTCAGATGAGCTAGAAATGGAGTTTTACGTCCTACATTTCTGCACCTTGTTAGGCTAATGAAGAAAGGGCAACAGTATGCAGTGTGCTTATTTTACCAGAACATTGACATTATCCTAATCTTTTTCAAATTTCCATCAGTAAATAATTTATTTGTAGATATCAGATGCTAGGTCAAAACTATCAATATGGATAAATTATAAATTATAAATTCAGTTTTAAGGACAAATAGAAGTCATAAGACAAATTATTTTATATTAAACTCATTATATATGTAATCTACCATCAGATTATGACAAGACATGACATATACATAGAGAGCTTGAGACAGTATATCTAACACATTACTATAGTCTTATCATTTATACAATATACAACACAATGGTCAGTTATGTTAAAATCCAAACATTTTTTTCAATGTTTAAAGTTCGATTTCATGTTAAAAATCTTAGTCTAATTGCTTTGAAAGGAAGCGAATGAAAAACCCCATATTTCTATCATGTAGGCAGCATTCAGAAGTCTTTTAAAAACAATATTAATGATAATTGTGACAAATTAAAACTTCTGATGGTTGTTATACTTTTGATGTATCATTAATACCATCTTCTTTATCTTTTCAGATGAACCAAGCCTTTTCGTTTTCAACTTCTCGATCCAGTCTATCGTTTGCGGAAGTTGTTCAACTATCCAACATGGCGAGCTACGGCCTCCCTACAAACCTTCTCTTCTGTAAACTGTGTCAAAAGATCTACAAGGAACCGAAACTATTGCCTTGTTTACACACCTATTGCCTAGAATGTCTGGACAAACAAACACAGGAGACTAACAGGGTTACCTGCTCTTTGTGTGGATATTCTATGATCTCTCCACTAGAGGGAGTCGCTAGGCTCACAACCAATATTTTCGCAGAGCGTGTGGTAAAACAGTATATCGATAAAATTCAAGAGTTCGCTAAGACTGATGAAGTCACAGCAAATTTGTCGAACAGAAATTCAGTGACTGATACAGAAATTTACGAATCTCTTGTGGAAAGAGCCAAATACTCACCGAACAGTCTGTCGTTATTTTCGATACAAAAGAGGGAGAACTCTAGTGACATCAACATGGCGTCTGCTGAAATCGGTGCAAATTCAACATCCCAAATTTCTCACCAACCTGATTTGGTACAGAGTCATACAGCCTCGGTTGATTCGAGGTATAACATGGTGGTAAAATTATCCAATCACATGGACCACAAGCTAATGGCTCTACAAGGCGAGGCACTTCGTGTTACCTACGCCATAGACTCCATCAACCAGACCATCAACGACTGGCGAGAGAATCGTTATCAATTGAAACGTAAAGTAGAAGAGAGGTCCAATATGTTACAGCATCAGATAAGACGTCACGAGAAACGACTGATGGCTGAAATTGATAATCGTTACCATGAGGATAAAATGATGAAAGATGCCGAAACTTCGAAACTGGTCTTACGTCAAAACCTGAAAGGAATTCTTCAAACTGTAGAATTTCTAAAACAAGTTCAAGATTTCGCTACGGATGATGAAATGATCAATCTTAAAGACAGACTAATGTCGTGTTCCGTGAATATCTCGGAAGTCCAGATCAGATGGCAGGAATTAGTGATGGACATACCAGACGAACCGTCCGAACATTTAATGGTGACAGACTTCGGAAAATTATCAAAATCGGAAAAATCTTCAGTTGTGTTTTTGCCAGGATCTTTGGAAATGGAGAAAGACATGAATGCAGACGAAAATGCATTTAATGATTCATTCTTCAACGATCATATATTTTCGTATACCACAAGCCCTCGAAACAGTCGTAGATTCCGTAATCGAAGTTCTCGTATGAGCGAGACCGACTTAGAAACCGATGGCAACATGAGTGATGCTTCAGTGACAGTGGATCAATTTCGTACAATGAGAGAATCTTTCAAACAAAGGCGACGACAACTTTTGGAAGAAACTGGCGAGCTCAGTTCTACTAAAGAAGAAAACTTTCCAATTCTTCAAAATCCTCTGATCAGATTGAATTCTTCCAAACGTAAAATGATCCCATCTTTTGCTGGAACTTCATCCGTGCCGTATGATAATCCTCACTTCCTGCACGACTCCCAGCTTAATTTGGAACAAATTTCTCCACTTCCACCAAATGCCTCATCAAGGGACATCACTGACAGAAATGAAATATCGGAGCAGATGGCGCACCTGTCTAACGAAAATCGCGAGGATAAGATCAAACGAATGCAAGAATTACGTGAGAGTTGGAAAAGGCGTAAAGAGTTTTTGATGAAGAATGATGGGTATATCAGTCCAAGTGCAGCAGACGGGGCCCCTGTTTTCGACTATGAAGAAAAGATAGAGGACGTGATTGAAGACACTCCAGCTTCTAGAAAACACAGTCGTATAAAACAATTACGAAATCGATTAATTATGATTCGACAACATTTCAGAACAGACACACCAACAAATTCTGCAGAAATTGAAGATGTGGAGAACATTGAAAAAATCTCTACAGCAGACGTCGTGCGTAGAAACAAACCGAAAGAAAAGAAGGAAAAAAGATGGTCTGGAATATTTCGAATGAAAGACTCGAAACGTAAAAGTTTGACGTCACAGGACAGCAAAGAGTTTGTACTCGATGAATTCGACACACAAACACTCGACGGGGATGAAATAAAAACTAATGAAAGAAAACGAACTGAATCTATTGCGTCAAAAAAAAGTGGATTAACTCGTAAAAAACTTCAACAAATGCGCGAGAGTGTGAGAAAGAAGACCCAAAGATGGAGAACGATTAATTCAGCATAGTTATAAATAAGTGATCTAATTATAGCAAATATTCATATTTACAAACAAACTGTAGAAAAGGACTTATTTGAAGTCTGGGTTGGACAGCTTAAAAACACATTTCAAATATAAAATGGCTTATTTTAATTTGTTAGTAAGTGCATCATGCTTTGTATTTGAACCTAATAATGATCTGTACAGGAAAATAGTTGCTTTGTAATTGTGTAGATATGTACTATTGGCAATATCTAAACAGGGTTGTAGTGTAAAAGATTATTTTGTATCAATAAATGTATAAAAGGGACAGTTAAAGTCACAAGTAGAGAGCAGTAGGATATAAACCTTATATTCATTTCATTCTACCAATTAGAGCCATAATAAGACAAACAATATAACCCCATTTCAGTTACAGACCAATGTCACTTCCAAACCAAACTAATAAGTCACAGAACATTGTCACTTCCAAACCAAACTAATAAGTCACAGACCAATGTCACTTCCAAACCAAACTAATAAGTCACAGACCAATGTCACTTCCAAACCAAACTAATAAGTCACAGACCAATGTCACTTCAAAACCAAACCAATAAGTCACAGAACAATGTCACTTCCAAACCAAACTAATAAGTCACAGACCAATGTCACTTCCAAACCAAACTAATAAGTCACAGACCAATGTCACTTCCAAACCAAACTAATAAGTCACAGAACAATGTCACTTCCAAACCAAACTAATAAGTCACAGAACAATGTCACTTCCGAACCAAACTAATAAGTTACAGACCAAAGTTACTTCCAAACCAAACTAATAAGTTACAGAACAATGTCACTTCCAAACCAAACTAATAAGTTACAGAACAATGTCACTTCCAAACCAAACTAATAAGTCACAGAACAATGTCAATTCCAAACCAAACTAATAAGTTACAGACCAATGTCAATTCCAAACCAAACTAATAAGTTACAGACCAATGTCACTTCCAAACCAAACTAATAAGTCACAGAACAATGTCACTTCCAAACCAAACTAATAAGTCACAGAACAATGTCAATTCCAAACCAAACTAATAAGTCACAGACCAATGTCACTTCCAAACCAAACTAATAAGTTACAGACCAATGTCACTTCCAAACCAAACTAATAAGTCACAGAACAATGTCACTTCCAAACCAAACTAATAAGTTACAGACCAATGTCACTTCCAAACCAAACTAATAAGTTACAGAACAATGTCAATTCCAAACCAAACTAATAAGTTACAGACCAATGTCACTTCCAAACCAAACTAATAAGTTACAGACCAATGTCACTTCCAAACCAAACTAATAAGTTACAGACCAATGTCACTTCCAAACCAAACTAATAAGTCACAGAACAATGTCACTTCCAAACCAAACTAATAAGTTACAGACCAATGTCAATTCCAAACCAAACTAATAAGTTACAGACCAATGTCACTTCCAAACCAAACTAATAAGTTACAGACCAATGTCGCTTCCAAACCAGAATATGGCAGCAGAACAGTGAAAACCAAAACTCCTTTAAATCAAAACAAAATCAATTCTATTACTCACCCTTTTTGCCACGTAGTTTTTTGTTGATGAAATCAAAGACATCAGTAGATTTTGTCGGTCTTATACCAAGACTTGAACTACCAGTACCAGATTTTTTTACTTTCTTTTTCTTAGTCTTTTTCATTACATCAAATAAATCTTGGTCCCCAGCCTGTTCCTTTAACTCCATTATTTTATCCAGAGACTTGCCTAAAATACATATAATTAAAGTTGATTGCCATCAATATTGGGAAGGTGGAGGAACTGATCTATCAATATAGGATCACAATTTAATTTCTTATATTTTCCAGTTAAAAAAAACTAAATAAAAAATTAAATGGAATGAGTTGTTTTGGTACATATTCAAAACGTAAATACTGTGTTAGCTGATGGATCTGAAATTCAATTAACAGTGATAGTCTACTGCATTCTTATAACACACTTAACAATTTAGGTCCTCTACCACCTCCAAGCATGGTTCTTTACTAAATTCTCTACCTACTTATTTAACCTTTTGACTGAAAAGTAGCCAGTTTTAAATAATCCAAAAAAAAAAAAAGGAAATTACCTTTAGGAATAAGTTGTATTGGTACAGGTTCAGCTTTACCCTGACCATCTTTTCCTAAACCTTGTCCAACAATATAACCCATTTTACACATCAACTTGGATCCTATACCCTGAAATAAATCAACATATTCATCACAGTCAAAACTTATAGCAATCAGCTTAATAAACCATTTCTATTTCCATCTTTCTATAACAACAATGTTTAACCACTCAAATTTAAAATACATTCAACAAATCAAATGGCTTGTTGATTCACTGGTATTTTTTATTCCATTCAGTTTGTAACCTGTTGTGAAATAGGTCAAATGTGGTCTGAAAATGTATAATCAATATAAGAGTTATTTCCCTTCGAAGAATCAAAAGAGGGTGTGATTTCCTATGTAAGTGTTAACTTTAACCTCAAATATAACATTATCAAACTCAGTAAGGTGTAAATGTTTTTTCTTTTCCTGACATAAACGATGATTGTAGAAAATATATCAAGTTCTCTATAATATTTCAAATTTCTGTGAAAATCTGACGATAAAAAAGAAGACTTATGAAATAATATCTAACAAGAACCTACCCTAGTATGTTCCTCCCATTCTCCTAATCTAGCCGTTGTTTTCGGTGGTTTCCATAGAAACACAGGTAAACAATCTTCATCCTCTGAATCAGACTTGTCTAAAGGGACATAATCCTCTTCAATGTCAGATTCTTCACTGGAACTAACAATATCAGGATCTGAAATATTAAGGGAGAATTTAAAACTTCAGACAGTATAAAACACTAAAAACAACATGACATGTTTTGTTTAAACAATTCAATCTAACAAAACTGGTTTAAAAATTTATCAAAATCAAAGGGAATCTTGATTGACTTTAACTCTAGCTGTCATCGACAATGCCCAATCTGTGACTATACAGTGACATTTTAAATAAATATTTCAACAACCACTGATATAATTACAGATATTAGTGAATTGAAACAATAGTGTATTTGTACTGTTTAAAGATAGAAAATTTGAAAGATTTCAGAAGAAAAGAGATGTTAATATAAGGAATGAATATAGATCAATAAAGATGGGTCCCTTATTTTCATTTATGACTCTGCATACATGGACATTTATGATTGGTTTCAACTCTTAATTATATGCATTAGGAACCTACGTGATAATTCATTAGAAACACCAATTAATCAATTAGTTTGCTTAATTTGACACTAAAATAATATAAGGAAACCCATCTTTAAAACAACATTGCTTTTTTATGTCAAAGTATGTAACCTTACAGGACACAACACAACTTTTTTTCCCCATTATAATTACAAGATCTACATTCATTCCTTCAATAACTATTGATAAACACAAGATTAACAATAAAATAATAAACATACCTAATGGTAGTATTTGTTCTAGTTTTAAAGTGGCTGTTTCATCATAACCATCAAATAAAACATGTAATTCTCCCTCATCATTAAAATTGTCTATAACTGTAGCTTTATACCATAAACTATCATTTTCATATAGACCTAATACTTTACTTTCTATCTTAATATTACTGAAATAATTTAATAATATATATATATCCTAAACTCAACTTAACTTCATTTAAACCAGGGTACATGCCCATTAATAAATTAGTAAAATACTAAATTAAATTCAGTAGAAATAAAAGGAGAAACAAACTGAAAATATGCACTCTTTGTTTTTCACATTAATATCTTGCAGAAATTCTTATTGAAATGTACTGAGGCCTTATTCTAAAAAACGTTAATCAATATATTTTTAGAAACTGCAATCAGAAATTAATTTTGATATTGGATCATATTTGACCTGTATCTTTACTTTGGTATGCAGTTGATGAAACAAGATATCATGTAGTTATGACAACCAAAACATTTGAGTAATAAGACAGACAGTACCTGTAATCTGGTTCCTGGTATTCCTGTAAGTCTTCTAATTTTACTGTGTAACCATGACTATTTCTACAAACAAATTACATAGAAATATATAAAACATAGTGACTAAACAGGTCATCAAGATCTTTGTACTATGATTAAAGTGAAAAAAAAAAAAAATGAAATGGAGTTAAAGTCGTACTTTTCTGCACCATGTGGGCTAACGAAGAGGGACAACGCCATGCAGGTGCAATGAGGGAAATTTTGCCAGGACAGCAGCATTAGCCTTCTCTTTTTAGATTTCCAACTGTCGAGGGATTTTTAACGTGCACAGCATGTAGCACACAGGGCCTCGGTTTATTGTCCTATCTGAACGACTGACCCTTTTTCCATGTCAGCCCCTCTTACCTGCATCACTGATTGGGGGAAACCGGGTTGAAAAATCCGAAGGTATTATCTCGACCTATGCCGGGATTGAATCCCAGACCTTCAGGTTAGCAAGCAAGCGTTTAACTCACATTAAATTGAATACATCGATGTATTGGATATAAGCCTTTTAGCATTTGCATTACAAGCTCATAAAAGATTAATTTATGGCTATCTGTAGAACTCTTCCAAAATAACAACTACTAACAATGTAAAGGCGCAAGAGTCAACAATCATTGTTTCCAGGAACAAACCCCAGACCCGCAGTCACTTTATAGTAAATTTGATCCCTTACTCAAAATAAATAAACGATAATTAAACTGACCTACATTCTTCCTCTGTAAATTTACATCTATCTTCTAGATAAAACTGACATGGTGCCATAGAACTATGGGTAGGATTACAAAACATCACTTTTACCTAAAATATTACATAGGATTATTACAGACAGCAAATATGGCATGTACTGAATTGACAAGGTTGGTTTGTAGATGACAAGTTGACCCCTGCTTCCAGCAAACAAGGTACCAAACATGCAATTACACTGAACTTATTTCAGGGAAAAAAAAACCTAAGATCTTTATCCCTTGGAAGTACTACAAGAAACAACAGCTGGTCAAAGAATTATTTATAAAACAAAAATACAACCTATAAACTACAATGAAGTGCTTTTACCACTTACATTTAGAACAATCTTATTAGTCTATAAAATTGCTGGCTATATCAACATATTATAAATATGTAAAAGCTTAGCAAAGATATTAATGAGTATATTATGCATTTTCACACCTTATACCTGTGGTTAACCACAGAGCCAAAGAAAAGATGTCTCTACTTACACTTGGAGTTTCCGTATCATCCAACATAGGATTTACTGATAATATCAAAGCATTGGAATAAACCAGACAACCCCAATCTTGTTGAAACGGGGCACGACATCGCATTCCTTCTAAACCGGATAATGTCTCATCTAGTTTCTCATTGGTTGACATGCTTCCATTCTCATTGGCTGAATCTTCAATACCAGTGTTCTGATTGGTTGAAATATCATCCGTGGTCGTGACATGATCACCCAATGCTGCCTAAAAATAGAACGTAAACGAAATATTTATTAACTTTAATACCTGAAAACACAATGACAGTCTCTTGAGCTGTGTATAATTTTATAATTTGGTAAATGAGGTAAGCTTTGGGAACTTCATTTGCTTATAACTTTTAAAAACAATGCCATATAACCCTTTTGATAGCAATGATTCAAACTCTCTCTCACTATCAAACCAACAGCATAGAACCATCCAGTTGAACCACACCAACTACTTTGACTACCAACTACTACCTAGTTTGCGATGATATCAACATCCACTGGAAGCGAACGTTAACTTGTCATCTACCAACCACTACCTAGTTTGCGATGATATCAACATCCACTGGAAGCGAACATTAACTTGTCATCTACTAACAACTACCTAGTTTGCGATGATATCAACATCCACTGGAAGCGAACGTTAACTTGTCATCTACCAACCACTACCTAGTTTGCGATGATATCAACATCCACTGGAAGCGAACATTAACTTGTCATCTACCAACAACTACCTAGTTTGCGATGATATCAACATCCACTGGAAGCGAACATTAACTTGTCATCTACCAACAACTACCTAGTTTGTGATATCAACATCCACTGGAAGCGAACGTTAACTCGTCATCTACCAACAACTACTTTGTTTGTGATATCAAACTGGAAGCGAACGTTAACCTAATTCAAACCTGTTAAATAGTGCATGCATACTCTCACTATAGTATTAAAGTATAAAAGATAAAATATTGCTGATTACCTGAAAAGCAGCGTATTCATCATCCACCCCACTCTGATCGTGACTAGAAGATGGTTGATAGGAAGAACTCGTAGATTCTAGAGATTGTAATAACATTCCTTTCTTTAACGACAACAAACTGTCTACAATTAATATCATTATAATACCTTAACTTCGCTAATCATTGAGTAAGATTTTGGTGTTTTTAATCAAGCAAATTGTGTCCTGCCGAAATATTATCGACAGCAAAGCAAAAAAAAAAACCTTGCAAATATGTTTATGAAAGTGGATGTCAACAAAATACATGACTGCATCATATCAGTACAGTATTATCTGCTATAATAATGATAACAATTATTTAAGTTTGTTACATTTATTCAACTATTTATTACCTGTAGTTAATTCAATCAGCTCCTTCAAATCATCTCGTAGTTTCACTAAATCATCATTTTCACCAGCTGCTAAGATAGCCTGTTCTACCTGCTCCAACTGAAACGAAAACATAATGTCAAAGTTGGAATAGAACACTACTAGGAATGCTAATCTAGCTATGAACATTAGTCATTAGTATTTCAGGTTAGTGGTTTAAATTGATCTGAGATTTGGCAAGATTTGATGGTTTTATTATCCAATCAGATTAGTAGATTAGTGCATTTCTTAAATACTGGATTTATCTTGGTTATCTAAGTTTTCCATATTAAGGTAAAAGCAGTGTACCAATGGTCAAACTAGCCGTATGAATTGTGCACTGTAGAAAATGTAACTGACATTTAATCGACTATGACTTACAGTACCAAGGCAAATGCAAAGCTTACTTGAAATTTTGAATTCCATGTTCACTGTTGTCAAAGAGAATTTCCTGTAAATTTATCCAATTAGCCTATATCAAGGTAATATTAAAACCATTTTGCAACAATGTACTGTTTAGTACAAGACTAGAAAACTGCAATATCAGCAATATGAGTTATATTCACTAAATTAAAGCGACAGTAAATCAGATTGGTCTAGTAACCATTTGTAATTTTCGGGGGGAATTTTATTACTTTCCGCGATAACACTGTTTTTTTTTAACATATATTTTGGCTGGGGACTTTGTTTGTAGATCTGAGAATTACCTGTGTATTGTACAGTTCAATGGAGGATTTGATGGTATTTTCATCCATCTTCTAAACCGACTAGATCAACCCGACAGACCTCCAGATTGATTGCTTTTAGTTGAATAGTTTTTAAGCTAAGTAATTCGTTGGTCTAACGACAGCGTCTTCATCTCACTGACTGCAGATCTCGAGTTAGCTGAAATCACTATGACGGATACCTACAAATTAATAGTAACGAAACGAATAAATCATGAATTAAGGGTGTGCTAAATATCATCCACTTTAGATGAAAAACTCAATATAATTTCTTTTGTCATTTAGTTTGTTCATTATTTTCCTTTCTTTGACAAATGTAATCATTGAGTTATTCTAATATTAAAAGTTATTTCTGTATTTTTTAATTTTACATGGTTCGGTGAATAGTCGCACCCAACTTCCTGTTAGCGTTTACATTCGCGAAAGTTCCATTAATTTTATCATTACCCAGTTTCGCTTTAGTTATAGTTCCTGAAACTATTTTGTGTATGGTAAAGGCCTAGATCTTTTGACAAAATGACGACAATAAATTACAGTAAATGGGATCATATAGATATTTCAGACGATGAAGATGACACCCATCCGAATATCGATACAGCAAGTTTGTTCAAATGGAAACATGAAGCAAGACTTGAAAGAATGGCCAAACAAAAAGAAAAGAGAGAGGAGTTTGAAAAGGGATATACCAGTCATAACAAAAAGATGTCTGAAATCAAAAAGAAACTCAAGGAGGTCAAAGATAAAGAAGATTTAAAAAGTGACTTTGAAAAATTGAATTTGGAATTGAGTGAGTTGGAGAAACAAGAAAGAGAGTGGAAGAAAAAAGAGGAAGAATTAAAACAGGAAGAAAAGTTGACACCATTGAATATAGATACAATTTGTAAAGAAGGGATGTCTAAAACTGTAATCAATAAAGCTCCACCAAAACCAGAAGAACTCACAGACGAAGAGAAGGCAGAACGACAGAAAACCTTCGTGGATAAACACAAAGCAGAAATCAAGAAATATGGAATGATGAAGAAGTATCAAGATAGTCAACAGTTTTTAAGTGACCATCCCTATCTTGTCTGCGAGGAAACCGCGAATTACTTAGTTTTATGGTGTATAGATTTAGAAATAGAAGAAAAACATGACCTAATGGATCACGTGGCACATCAAGTGATTGTCATGCAGTTTATTTTAGAATTGGCCAAAACATTAGAAAGAGATCCACGAAGCTGTGTTCGAGCATTCTTCGCCAGAATTGAAGTGGGAGAGAAACAGTATCAAGATGCATTCAATGATGAATTAAATGGTTTTAAATCAAGAATCAAGGCGAGAGCTAAGACGAAAATAGACGAAGCCATGAAAGAATATGAAGAGCAAGAAAAAAAGAAGAGATTGGGACCAGGTGGTTTGGATCCAGTTGATGTCATGGAAACTTTACCACAGAGAATTCGCGAGTGCTTCGAAAACCAGGACTTAGGTATGTTAAAAGAAAGAATATTAGAGTTATCACAAGAGCAAGCTGAATATCATATCAAACGGTGTGTAGATTCCGGTTTATGGGTGCCGAATGCAGCTGAGAAAACATCAAAGAAACCGACAGAAGAGGATGGTGAAGAAGAGGAGTTTTATGAAGCCGTGGAGTAAAAAGATTAAAGAGGGTTTCGTTCTCTCTTTTCTATAGTTTAAAGTTGTTGGGACACTGTGGGGCCGTTTTCAAAATTTAACATGGATTGAATCCAGATCTAAGTAATATCACTCTAACGTTATAAGTCTTCATTTTGTACCGGTAATGGCCGCTTCGCCGATTGTTCTGATATACGCCTGCACTCTTAAGTGCAAAATTCAAGAGGGCGCTTGTGTCAACTGTGAAAATATGTTATTGTGCGTCTGAATATATATATATGTATATAAAATATAAATGCTTGATGTAGTAATGAAGATGAAAATCAATATGGCAGACTTTCTTAGAATTTGACCATTGATTGAATTTACTGTTAACTAGCAGACTAGTGTAGAATTTAGTGTTTTGTGTTGAATTACTCATCTCTAAGAAAGTTAAAACTGTTATGATGTTAGTAATTTGTTTATAATGAAAATATAAAAAATTATATATAAAAAAGTTGTTTGGGACTTAATTCTGGAACCAAATAGTACGAGATATACCTCTACATCTAAACAGATAAGTCATGTATATCATTCTTGCAAAAATGACCTGAGAATGGAATTAGTAAGCATCAGCGTATTTAGGGGCCTCAGGAAGCGAATTTGGATTCAGCCTCTCACTAATGCCCCTCAGGCATTATCTATGATAATAATGAGACATCAGATAAGAAAAAGAAAAGCAGTTTTCTGATATTTATTACAGTGATGATGATTTTATGATGTTAACAGAAACTTATACAGAGTATATACACTGGTTACAATGGTAGTTGTTGTAAAAGTATATGATCAAATATCAGGCAATATTCAGATGACTACAACGCTATAAATAGTTAAATAATTAATCGTAAATGATATCTTAGCTAACTCACCATTTAGCAATAAATACTTTTCAAATTGAATAGCATATACAATTCATTTTATCAACAAGATGTAAACTAATCTTGACTAATTTCATTTCAAATTTAATGATACATTTAACAATTTTAAGTTCACAAATTCAGCCTTAAGACATGTACTAATAAGAAATTTAGCTCTGAAACCCACAATAAAAAGCTACATGAACACCATTATGCCCAGCTTTCACTATGCTGAAAGACACATGAATACAAACGATTTTACCTTCATTCCAACTAAAATATCTTTAATGGATTCATTCTTGCATTCAGTGACATTACATTAAGTTTTCTAGCAACATCACATATGAAATCAGCTTATATTGCTACTGTTATATTATTTGAGCTTTCAGAGATATAAAATTGAATTGAGCTTTAAGCATTAGTAACACAGAGAATTCAGCTTTCAGTCCCCATTAAAACAGGTCCACTATGAGCCAAATAAACACAAGAAGCAATTCATTACCCAAATTAAACAAATATTTCAGCTTTCACTGGCACTGTCAAAAAATGGATGTTTCAAGGCTTCTTCAGCAGTTATTCTAGTTTTAGGGTTCAAGTCTAAGAGTCTAAATAACAAACTAAAAGCTTGATCAGATATATTTTCCCAATCTTTTAAGTTTTCTTTATTTTGTGAGATATCTATTCTACGATATTTAGTTGACCTAGAGGGCGCTGCTGTACGTAGTTTATGACATAATGTACGGAGATGTAATGGCGGTGTTGATGGGTTACAGATTAACGATTTTCCTGAAATTATAAAATACATGTTAAATTTAATTCAAAAGGAATGAAAAATCTGTCATAAGGAAAGGTAAGGAGGTTTGTATTAATTCACCATATTAGGAGGACACATCTATATTGTACAAGAAAAATAACTTCCAATGATATCTCCTACCAGCTGGTCCTTAGGCAAACCAATTGGTGTTCATTTTTGCTGGATATTTTACAAGGAAAACAATTCAACTTCTCCAAAATCCTTAAATCCATCCATTCTTAGCCAAACTTCTGAGCTTTCATATCACCAAGATTATCCAAACTTATTCATAGATGGTTGACTGCAAACAGGAGTAATGAAGGATGTTCAAACCTTCTCAAGACTTTTCAAATAACACCCTAGTTTTTTAGAAGTACCCACTCTAGTTCCCAGGGCCCAACACTTGATAAATTAAAAATTAAAAAACTCACCAAAAGATTTAGCTGCTGTTTTGACTTCTTCACTACCCATAATACTGATAATCTGAGCCAGGGCCGTCAGATCATCATTGGCACGAAAAAACGGGTATCTACCACTTAATAATGATAGAAATATTACTCCAGCTGACCAAATATCTACAGCTGAAAATAGAAAATTACCAGTATTAGGTGGAGGGAAATACAAGGCTTCAATCCTGGACCGGATATGCGCTATCAAATCAGGTAGAATTTATTCTTGAACTTTGTCTAAATTAATATGAAATTCTGATCATTTCTTTAAAACAAATTGAGAATCCAACTCTAGACTGTAACTTGGTAAATGGTGTACAGGTATTTTTCATCTGAATTTGAAACAAGATTGAAGGGGTGCTGTAAAATCCATTATGATTAATTTTGGCAATGAAAAATTCGACATTATGAGATTTCATGAGACAAGACAAGGCCTGCATTGTGTGCAATTACTTTCAGAATTAATTTCGTATTTTAGTGCAGCACAGAAAACTCAACTTGTTAATAATGTTTTTACCTGTGGTCTGATCAGGATATTTCATTAAAACTTCAGGTGATCTAAAACCAGGAGTACCAGCTCTCGGTGCCGCCTGATTACTTCTACCAGTACAGATACTACAAATCATAGGCTGGCCAGCACATTGACACGTGTAAGGATTATTAGACATCATAACAGCACTGGTCGAGGTGTTTCTCGGTCGACTGGGAACATCTTTATCTTTCACCATCAAGGCTCGTTTAGCTAGCAGATATCTTCGAGGTGATTTAACGTTCTTAGTAAATGATATTGAGTCCATATTAGGTGTGGGAGGAGTATATGGCTTGTTTGACCAACTGTCACATGACTTTTTACTCTGTATATCTCCACTGTTTTGTTTTGATTCCCCCTAAAATTAAATTTATAACAAAGATAAATTCATTCATTGATTATATTATGGGGACCTGTTTCTACATAGATACTGCACAATGTATATTTGGTACACATCTGTTAAGATGCCTACACTATGTAGATCAGGGATCCCAGTCAGGAATAAAAATAAAATAGAGAAATTGGAAAATATCAACTGAAGGTCAAGTACAGTAGAGAAATATTATTATACAGAAATATGTATCTGTTATATAATTCAGATTGGCTGTCAAACATGGTTACATAACTCAGAAAATTGCTCAAAACATTGCACAAGTCACAGGGATACAACTAGCCAAATAGTTTCAAATATTATTTCCTACCGAGAAACTTACTGTTTTAGAACGGGGAGAAGTATATGGCACATAAATTACCTTGATCTGATTGTTAATATTACTGTCTTTAGTTGGTGATAATGGTGTTCTAGTAGAATGTCTATTTTCTATGGTACCAGCTGGTTTATTAGTAGTATTACTATTAGACTTCAATAAAACAGGAGCTTTATGAGCCAGACCAAAATCTACCAGTGCATACCTAAAGAAAGAAACCATTTTAAAGGACATCACATTAGGTTCACTAAACTACCAACTATTCCTTGTCCACACTAATGGTGCTTTTGTTACATAGGGAAAAAATTGGCCATCAGAACCAAATCCTACCCTACACTTGATGATTCAGTGAACCCTACTCCAAACCCCAAAATGCCATGTAGACTCAAACATATTTCTGTTGATGACCTCTCACTCCTGTTCATTGAGTTGGTTTACTTTGCCTGAATAGGGAGATTATTGAAGAAATAGAAACATTATGATAGATTACATATTTAAATAGTGTTGACATTATATTTGTCTAGAGCTTAGATATAAGATCGTCATCAGGTCAGCTTTTTTGGAACGTTTCACGAAGTAAACAAACTTATTACACAGTAGAAGAAGGTACTTACTGATTAGTCTGTCTATTATATAAGAAATTAGAAGGTTTAACGTCTCTATGTATAATATCAAACTGATGAACACGTCGTAAAGATAGTAATAAATTCTTCATATAATTCTTTACTTCTAATCTACTTAAATTCATAACATAGTCCTAGAAAATACAGTAGTATTTATTATCTAAATTTCTACAATAAATACTGTAATAATCCAATAATTTACAGTAACAATTTTCAAATGAAAGGAAATGATAGGTATTTAAACGACATTATCTTGTGAAAGTAACCATCATGCAAGTTTGCTTTATGACTTAGGTCCCAGTTTGATCTAATTGTAGCTCTATCTGAAACTTTTCATTTCAATTGCAGAATAGCTAACAATTACAGACAACTCTAGGTTCTTACCTGAAATTTTTCATGTTTAAAATAAGGCATGACTATAACTACATGGTCTCTGTTACGTAGACATAATTCTACTCCCATTACATTGTCACATCCACTGAAAATATATAAATACATTACATTATCATCTCTTATACACACTTTCATAAAGGTAAGATCTATAGGATTGTGGTTGATAATGTTAACATCTTCTGTTAGTAGTGTTAGGCTATTGATTGAAAATGTAGAGCTTATTGTCTTCTTTAAAACTATCATAGATTTCTGATGCATTTCACTTAAGTATTCATAAGATCACATGAATTATGAAAAAGATCGATGAATAGTTGAAATTCACTGCCTCATACAAAGCTATTTGAACCAGCCCCATCTATAAAATTGATTAGAGGAATTATCAATGATATGTCTATGTGGATAAGAGCTTACCCTATTTCTTGTAGACATTTCAATTCACCTTCAATACGTGAAGGATGGCTGGTGGGTATTATATGTTTTAACGCAAACTTCTCTTCTACATCAGGATACAACTTTAACCTGGCTAAAAATACTGAACTAAATGTTCCTGAAATAGATATTGTAGCCACAGTATGAAAGGGGTTTGTCAACTTGTCATCTCTTTCAGAGAGTTCACCTATTACATTACTTGGTATTGGAGATTGCTAACCCTTTAAGAGAATCTAGTTTCAAATTGAAGTTACAAAATGTGTTTGTAACCCACCTTCACCTATTTTGTTTAAAACTATAAAATGTTCTGCTACTTCAGGTACAAACTCGTATAAACAATCTATTTCTTCTTGTACATCAGCTAAAATCATTGGACAATATAAAGTAGGTATTAAGGTGTGAAAGTCGACACTGGGCTGACTCTCAGAAGCACAGACACAGGCATCAGAATCTTACTTTGAGGAGAATTTGAACAAACGACACCCAATCGCCTAGCAGACGACAAGGTTGAATAAAATGAATGCACATCCAGGGAGAACTCAAAAAAATGACACAGATAGCTGAAACTAAAAAGCATCATTTACATCCAGTTTAAACTATTGCCAATTTTGGAAATTCCTTCCTAATCTATGTTTTGATTGAAATCTTTCAAGACACAAAGAATAACCTTACTAGGTAGTATCCTACAGAGAAATTTTTGAAAAAGATCTAAATTTTATGGCATACTTACTAGGTAGTGGTTCAGGCGAAGAAGGGAAAGATTCTCGTGGGCGTTTTAAAGTTATTTTCTGCCCAAACCCTCGTTCAGGTACACTAACAATAGCACTAATTAACGATGTACTCGACATCAGGTCTTCTTCATGTGTTCACTTGTTGATTAAAATATTTAATAGGTACCAACCTAAACAATCTGAAATAAAAACAAAACTTTAATTCCTTCATTTCTATGATAGGTACCCGGTACCAATCTAAAATGAAAACACAATTTTTTATGATTGAATTTCCACTGACAGCATTGATATAACTTGTAGGACCTGTACTCTTTGCCCTGGAATTCATATTTACCCTTTCAACCCTAGATTTTTACCGCTCAAAGAATTACGTAAAATTCACTGAGCAATCAGTTAAGCGTCTGTTACCAAGTGACAACATCATATGGCATTATCGTTATTCGCTTTAAGCTATATAAATTTTTACTTCATTATCACTCAGTGTTCAAAAGTTTAAGCATTTTTCATATTTTCTGTGTATAATAAGACATTAAGAGCTATTGATCTTAAATACATTTTTAGATGCATGATGTTTTCATTTGAGTGAAAAAATTGAAAGAAGGTAATGCCTGGAATTCAAGATAATCATTTATCTCATTTCAGTGAAAGGTTTGGCTCAAGAATTTTGGATTGCTTTTGCTAAGGATGAATGATGTGGATTTTTATTTCCTTCTTTGCCTAAAGTGTCTTCTGTCAGAAGTTCTGAACCTAATGACTTATGAAGTTGAAAGAGAAGGAGAGAGAAGACCTTTTTACATCAAAGATCACATTCGATCTGAAATCTGGCATTAGATTTACATACCAAAATATCGTCTGCATTGATTAAATTCAAATCAGAAACATTATGCTATCTGGATTTCCACAAAATATCAAAATTAGATAAATATTGTAAAAGTTTGTTTGAGTTTCTTTTTCTTTCTCCCGCGGAAATAAATCAACATCCTGTTACCAATTTCGAACATCGCGCATGACGGAAGTGAGATTCCACACGTGGTTCCGGTTAAATATAAACAAACCAAAATGGATAGAAATTTGCTTTAATTATCAAGACTTCATTGCTAAACTATGGATAAAAAAAAGTCAAGAAAGCCCAAATCTGCCCGACCTAAGGTAGACCGCAACCTAAATTTTAAGAACTAGCCATTTAGCCATGCTTTATTGAAAAAATACTCAACACAAAAAAAGTACAAATTTATTTTAAATATGCAATTATTAACGCAAGAAAAAGTATTTTGCTTTGTTATTTAATAGAGCTTCATTCCAGCATACTGTCATACGTCAGGTACCTCTGCAATGAAACCAAGATCTTAAATGAAAATTAAGACAAGCTTCTGTCATTTCAATACACCAGTCCAATCGTCGACAAAATTGTATCATAGAACTCGTCGATAGAAGTCATATGAACAGACCAAGCGTTTTCCTTTATCTGCGTGTTGTTTTTGTTGACCGCAAATTGGTTACCTGTGATAGGCTATCTTTTAAATAAGTTTCAGTCTAACGGTATTCGGTTAAATCGGTGACATGTCAACTCAGCGACAAATTAAGTTATACTAGAAGTTGTCACCGAGTTAACTCACTTTGTCACAGAGTTAACTCTCTTTGTCACAGAGTTAACTCACTTTGTCACCGAGTTAACTCACTTTGTCACAGAGTTACCTCACTTTGTCACAGAGTTAACTCACTTTGTCACCGAGTTAACTCACTTTGTCACGAGTTAACTCACTTTGTCACAGAGTTAACTCACTTTGTCACCGAGTTAACTCACTTTGTCACAGAGTTAACTCACTTTGTCACAGAGTTAACTCACTTTGTCACCGAGTTAACTCACTTTGTCACCGAGTTAACTCACTTTGTCACCGAGTTAACTGTCTCCGAGTTAACATGTCACGGAGATGACCGGTATTCAGTCTAACAACTAGATTCCAAACAGCATTTAAAGAGTCAACAAGTTCAGACCAATATTTTTAACTATTTTAGGGTAATGTGAAGAAGAAAGTTCAGTATGAAACAAGTGCTGAAGATAAATTTGGAACGAGTCATAAAGGCAGAAGACACAGATTTTCAGTTTCACATAAATATGTTCTACCAGTGGTTGATAAAAACTCTGAGGGGGGACAGAAAGTTGAGGAGTATAAAATAGATGTGGGTAAACTGTCGAGGTCTAAATTAAAACATCAAGTCACCAAGTGGGCGGGGAAAAAGAAATGGTTGAAGGAAGAAGGGAAAGTAAACGTGAAATCTGGGAAGTCGGATGTGAGAAAGAGACTGGGTAATAAAGAGTGGAGAAAAGATAAGAAAAGAAAAGATTATCAAGTCTCTAGGAAAGTGAGTAGAGCTTATAGTTCTTTCTAAAGGCAAATCAGTCAGATTAATGACAAACCAACATAGTTTTGATTGAATATAATTTGGGTAAGTATATGTGTGTTTTTCTCGTTGCTGTTGGGGGTGAAACTGTATGTTTATGCTAAGCTCAATGTGTTGTGTTTCAGCTTGAAGATCCTTACCCTGGTGATGCTCCAGTTGATCCAGTGAAACTAGAGAAATATAAACGTACAGATACTACAGAATTAGTAAGTATGAATGAAATGAAATGAATGGAGTTTTACGTCCTACGTTTCTGCACCATGTGGGCTAATGAAGACGGACAACGCCATGCAGGTGCAATGAGGGAAATTTTGCCAGGACAGCAGCATAAGCCTTCTCTTTTTAGATTTCCAACTGTTAAGGGATTTTCAACGTGCACAGCCTGTAGCACACGGGGCCTCGGTTTATTGTCCCATTGGAACGACTAGACGCTTTTTCCATGTCAGCCCCTCTTACCTGCATCACTGACAGGGGGAAACCGGGTTGAAAAATCCGAAGGTATTATCTCGACCTATGCCGGGATTGAACCCTGGACCTTCAGGTTAGCGAGCAAGCGTCTAACTCACTGAGCCACCGCGGCTTCCTGCGACAAGACAAGACAAGACAACTCGTTGAAAGGTTTGGTTTGGCTTCTGTTTGACAAAGAAAGTCTTCATGTTGATAAATTAGCTTTTAAAAAACAAACAGCCTGTTCTATTTTTAAGGTTTGGCTTTTGATTAAGAAACTGTCCTTATGTTTCATAACTAAACGAATATCCGTTGTTAAAAAGACACATATTTAAATCACAAAATTAAGCATTTTTTTTAACCTTTTGACATTTGATTGGATTTGTTTTTATTGTAGAAAGATGCCAGATATTTAGCAGCGAAACCAGATATGACATTATCTAAAAATAAAACCGATTATGCTGTAGAATTATCAGCTAGGTCTGATTTTTTACTACCAGATAACTCCGGGTAAGTCTTTTTATCTTTATTCAGACCAGAAACCTCTTATCTGCTGTATTTGTTAAATGATTTATGAATTAAATGTGAATGTATGATATATATCTTAATTTTTAAATACTGATATTGAAGTAAAGACATCAGAGAAAGTCAGTGTTAAATAGACTAACTGAGTTTATTGACAACCAAACATGTTTCAGCCAGTGTCGTTAAGTTTGATCAGTATTTTCCTTTTATAATAGTAATTATGTTTGTATTTGTACAACTTCTCACACATTCAGTATTTGGTTTTTATGATGATTAAGCAGTTTCTCTACGGAATCCTTAACAGCATACGCTACTACGTCAAGTATGTCTTGAATGTGGGTTGACAGCCATGCTAATTTGTTACTGAAACGATGCTCAAAATATACTAGTCAAGTATGTATTAAATGTGGGTTGACTGCCATGCTTATTTGTTACTGAAATGATGCTCAAAATATACTAGTCAAGTATGTATTAAATGTGGGTTGACTGCCATGCTTATTTGTTACTGAAATGATGCTCAAAATATACTAGTCAAGTATGTATTAAATGTGGGTTGACTGCCATGCTTATTTGTTACTGAAATGATGCTCAAAATATACACTAGTTATCTAGTTATACCTAGTTAAAACACTTTCAACCATTAGGTTTCTTGGTACTGCATACTGTTTCTATTTTTAAACTTCCCATTGATCAAGGTTTGGTTGTTAAGGCAATAGACAATGTATACTGGACACTATGATGACTAGATGATGTGATAATAATATTTTGATGTTGTGATATACTGTGGTATATTATTATAAGGTGATGAATTAATAAAATGATTATTATAGATGTATAGAAGTAGAAGAAGGGGAAGATACAGCTGATATTAAACAACATGATATCATTAGTTCTGTAGATATTACAAGTGCTTCTAAGGTCAGTATCTCACCTTCAGTTTGATGTTCTGGACTATTGTCGTCTCGATTAACAAGACTTTCAGATTATTTCAGAAAAGTTTATCTTGATATTAGTGTTTATTATAGTATTACACTGTATATATATGTTGAAAATATTAATTTGTATGTTTTCAGTCGTTTGAATTAGATCTACAGTTATTTGGTCCGTATAATATCAACTATAGTAGAAATGGGAGGTATGTTACATTGATTTCAACTTCACTCTAATATGGAAGGCTACATGCTAGAGGAATTAACTTCATATGATGTCTAAATGAATTAAAAAAAATATGCAAATATGTATGAATTAAATAAAGGAGTATCCTAATCAGGCCCGTTGATAAGAGCCCCTGCTCTAGCTAAGGGCCTGATACTAATATCAGTGATTCACAGATATTTACAGATTTTTTTTATTGACAGCAACAATTTTATTTGCTTCTAAACATCACTTAAATTGCAATTCAAAAATCAGAAATTTATTTGCTAATTACACAATCTTAAGAGAAGTAGATGGTATGCATAGTGCTGAAAACCAAGTTATTTATTTTCTAGGTATTTATTATTAGGAGGTAAAAAAGGTCACGTAGCTGCTGTCGACTGGCAAACTAAAAAACTCATGTGTGAAATGAACGTGATGGAAACTACCCATGATGTCAAGTAAGTAGTGCTGGTTAAATGATTATACTAGGTACATGCATAGTGCTGGGTATCAGTATGATACGTATTGTGATACAGGGGTAATGAGAGGTATCGTCAAGTATCGATAAATGACCTCGTGATCTGATATGTATCGTATTGTGAATGTCATATCGCGATACATTGATTCACCGATATATTGTGCCAGTACGAATTAGTTAACAACGACAATTCAAGTTGTATAATTACCAGCCAGCCCTGTTTCACCAGCAAAAGAGTAAAAGATGTTGGTATTTTGAGAATGGAAAGGATAAAATTCACAGATACTGAGGTTACTGCTTAAATACTATAACTGGTAGTGGAATAGCTCTGTCGGTAACGAGTTGTAATGTTGTCTCCTAGGTGATTAGGTGTCAGGGGTTCAAATCCTACTTGTGGAACGAAAATCCCTGATGCTAAAGAGTAAAATCATCTGCCAGTGTATTTGATGCCATGTGTAAGAATCCTCAATAATTGTGATGCCACAATCAGTGGTTCCAAGAATTGGCCATGTGTCAGCTTCAATTCCTATCACTGTATCTCTGATATATGTAATTAATGTTATTTTCTGTGTATAGATGGTTACATATAGAAACAATGTTTGCTGTGGCCCAGAAAGAATGGACGTATATTTATGATAACCAAGGAATAGAATTACACTGTTTAAAAGCATTAAATAAACCATTACGATTAGAGTTCTTACCTTATCATTTCTTATTAGCTACTGGGGTAAGATACTTTCTAGTTCTTCTTTTTGAATGCTGATTGAGTTCTTCTCGCTTTTCTCATGAACTTAAACTCTAATATTGGAAAGACCAATTTCATTCCATAGCTGGCTGTCCATGTCGCCTGTCTGCATCACGCGAAGGGTTATAGTATTATCGACTCTTTTAGGATAGCAAAGTAGGTTTTAGAGGACTGTCTTAGCCTCTCCATTAAGCCAAGCCTACTATGTATTGGCAATGTCATGTATATTTCCTTATCTTTAATTAAAATGCGCCCCCCCCCCCCCTTTTTTTTTCTGATGCATGCCTGATCCTAAATGAGGTACAACATGCTCACTGTTCCATGATATCTGATACAAGTCTATGACAACTGTATAATGTATAGGAAGTATATATAAGATTAATCAATGATGAGGCTGAGAAATATTGGTTCAAGTGGATAATGATATTTTTATTACAGTCGTCTGAAGGTTTTCTATCATATCTAGATGTCTCAGTTGGTAAATTAATAACGAGTATAAGGACTGGATATCCTAGACTAGATGTCATGTGTCAGAATCCTAAAAATGCTATTATACATCTGGGACATCCAGGTGGTAAGTGTTATATTTCTGAATGTTTTCAATTTAGATGTTGTGGAATATGCTTGTATATTCTGCAGGTTGATCACATTGTGGTAAATGCATGTACATTTCAATCTGATTGGTTGGTTTTGAAAGAAATTCAAAATTTGTCATATAGCTTGCCAGACAACAATCAGTTGTTGGAGAATAGGGGGTATATTCGACCACTAAGAAAACTTGTTTGTATTGTAATGAGAGGAGAACGCCCTCAGAACAGCCATGCAATGGTTTGCCCCTATTTTGTAGTTGTAGGAGGCTGACCAATTCAATTTTATTTGTTTGATTCTAGGCACTGTAACACTATGGTCTCCCAATATGAAACATTCTGTAGCTAAGTTATTATGTCACCATGGTGGAGTCAGATCTGTAGCAGTTGATAATACTGGCAAGTAAGTATTGTTTATCTATTTTAATATTAATTTGATCTCAGTTTCAGCCAATTTGAATACTGTAAATTCAATAATTAGGAAGGAAGTAACAAAGTAAACATGCAACTTGGTTATAATGCTGATAGTCATTTAATTAAGAGATTTAATTTGTACCACGTGCCATCAAAACGAGTTGATGTGATTTGCTTCAATAAAAATGCCTCATGTTATATGACAATATCTGTATAGTATAATAGTTTTAATTACTGTTTATTCTACTGTGATATTGGAAAGACCAATTGTATTCCATAGCTTGTTGTCCTCATGAGAAGGTTTTTGGTGTTATTGACTTTTTACGATAGCAAAGTAGAGTACTCTGATCCTAAGTGAGGTCCAAAATTCTCACTGTTCCATGATATCTGATACAATTCTATGACAACTGTATGGTGTATAGGAAATTTATATGAGATTAATCAATGATAGAGCTGGGCAATATTCTATCTATAAATATAATAGACAGCTTGTATTTATGATATATATATTAATAATTATTTTCTAGTTATATGGCTACGTCTAGTATTGATAAACAGTTGATAATACATGATTTAAGAACATATAAAATGTTATATAAATATCGTCTACCATCAGGAGCTGGTGGTTTAACATTTAGTCAGTCTGGACAACTAGCAGCCTCCATGGGTAGTGTAGTACAGGTATGTCCATTGTCTAGTTTTCAGATATTATTGGTCGAAGCAGACATTGGGCTGTCTGTCAGAAGAACTGGCACAGGAATCAGAATATTTCTTACCTTGAGGAGGATTTGTTTATATGGCTCTAGCATGTCTAGCCCTGTGGTTAATTATCATGTTAGTCTATAACAAACTTACACATGAGATGAACATGCTAAAATCATTTCCAGAATACACAGCCAGGTCCATAAGAGATTGTCAAAATATCCCTCTTTTATTTGAAACAGATGTTTATTGTTTTTTAATTACCGGTACAAGGAAAGACATGGCTTCAAAAAGTTATTGTGAACAAATGTTTACTCAATTTGAGAAGCTTACTGAAAATATTTGTCTATGAATTTTTTGTGGCTCTGTGGAGTGTGATGGTCTTTGCCGAGTCAGCTTCATCTCATTATCAGTTAGTTTCAGATACTAATATATATATATATTCAACTGTTGGTCGTATTATTACAGGTATATAAAGATGTTTGTAAAGAGAAGATAAGATCACCGTATTTAATACACAGATTAACCACTCCAATATCAGGTGTACAGTTCTGTAATTATGAAGATGTATTAGGTGTTAGTCATAGTCATGGTTTCGCTAGTTTACTTATACCCGGTATATATTTACTTCTTTCTTGACTTTAAAATTAACTGATTTGGAAACTGAACGGGCAGAAATTTTGCCTGGACAAGCACATAAGCCTACTCTTTCATTGTAAACCCCAGGTTACCTTGTAAGCATAGAATTATGTCTACCACTGAATGAGTTACAACTATTAAACTATACAATCTGTACAGAAGTGGCTGAAAATATTGTAAACTGTAATATATGTATAATTTAAGGGTCTGGTGAATCTAATTTTGATGGTTTTGAAGCCAATCCATATCAAACTAAGAAACAGAGAAGACAGGCCGAGGTTAAGATGCTTTTAGAAAAGGTCAGTATTGGTTTGTTTTCTTTTTTTGAAAAGATAATTTTCTTTACTAATTGGTATGTTAATAATGTTTATTAAAACCTATCAGAGAAGGAGCTTATCATTATTTGAACTCTTAAGTAGAGAGAGAATAGCAACACAAGATAACTAATTGAGGATATTAAGCAACTCCATACAGTGTGCCATCAGGAAAATTTTGTCAGGACATACCTCAACACATGCTATTTTTTTAATTTGCAATGGTGTATACTTAATACTTAATACTTAATATAAAGTTGAAGTGTGATTTTTTTAACCACCCCTATTTTACATAAACAGGTACAACCAGAAATGATCACACTAGATAATACAGCTCTATCTAAAGTTGATGTAGCTACAATGGAGAGAGATTTAGATGAAAGAAAGAAATTGAGGGTATGTATTCCTTATTGGTATTTTCACCCAGGAACACTTGGGGCCACTTAGCATCAAGGGCTGTAAATAACATATAGGCAGAGGGTAGGGGGCAAGCAGCTGTCTCCAACTTAAATCAACTATGCAAAGGACTTGTCAAAATTCAGGATAGTGCACCCTGTAATTATCAGCTTCTGATCCCCCATCTCAATAAGTACTCCCTCCACAACTGATACTAGTTTACAACCCTGGCATTAACTTCATCATCTAATAATGGGGATTCATTCTGTGACGATGGTACAAATTCCATGGACTAACATTTGTTTCACTTGAAATATTACCACACACTCAGATTTACTTCTGATGAGCTGAGCTATAGGCTTTCATTCACTCCTCAAAACATTAGATTTCATTCTGCAAAAAAATTCTGACAAACTTCTTAAATCTAATATATTTTTTGAGCAGTCTTTCTCTTTGTGCTCTTCAGTGTCTGATAACACTTCTGTTTGATTTCAGTATTTGGAAGAGAAGACTATCAGTTATACACCAAAATACAGGAAGAAAGGCAAGAGTAGTGGTGTACGCCGCGAGAATCGTAAACAAGGTGTTAAAAATAATATCATTAGAGATGATATCAGAGATCAGTTGAAAGAAAAACGACAGGAAAAACGTGACAAGAAATTAGCCAATCAGAGAGGAGTGAAGTCTGTTCTCGATAGATTTAAACGGACTGTAGAGTGATGGGATTTATAAATTACGTGTAGTGTATTTACATCATATGGACCAGTTTCTTTGAATTTAAAAAAAGTTTATGTCAAGATGTTCTGAATTATTGAAATTGGCAGATTCTGATGGTATAGATATGTTGTGTTCTGTACATATTAACAGAGACCAATTTCTTTAACAAGAAATATTGAAATCTGCAAAATAAATTAAGTCAATTTTAATGCTTGATCAAACAAACGACAAAAAGTAATAAAGGAAAAATGTATTGCATTTAAAATGTAAGATGTCTGTATATTTGTTAAATGTTATATAATAGAATTGAATATTATCTTGTACCTTGTTTATAAACTGAAGTATATCACAAAGTTTCAGACAAGTTATGAATTGCTTTATGGATTTTTTTCGATCTAGTTATGCAGACTAGGTAGTGGAGATGAAGTCTTTGCTATATATAGGGCTAATAAGAACAGGCATTGTCACTGCCTGTATCCGTTTGGTCCTGTGATGACTACTTCAAGCCCTTTCTCCCACCTGCATCAGACATGGGTAAAATTATCTTCATGTTTGTCTTATCATTATGTGCACAGTAAAAACGCCTCCATTGTGAGTTTTCTCCAAGTCTGGTATGAACAATATATTTGGGTTCTGCATGAAGGGTGGGGGTAATTTGGAAAAAGAGGTTAGGGTAATTTTACTATAATCTCAGAATGTTCCTCAAATCATGCTGCATTAGCCCAATCAGGTGCAAAATGCCATATCATTAAGACACTAAATGGTATTTTTTGCTTTTATTTTTTTTTAATTTACTTCTTCTTGGCCACACCAACTGTTCTACCACGTCGTCCGGTAGTCTTGGTTCTTTGACCTCTTACTCTCAGACTGAAATATAATACAATACAATTTGATCAACATACGAAAAAGACAAAAATAAGATTGTGTTAACACTGGCATCAGGATTGAGGAATTGAACCATCTGTACCTCATCGCCCTGTCATCAATAATCTTACTCCCTGCCATCTGAACTATTCCATTTGAACAAAGCTATGGATATGTAAATATAGATGAACTCAACTGTGCAACTAATCTGCATTTGTTAGGATTTGTACAGTGTATATCAAAGGAAAAGATAGTATCAAATTACAACTGTCAAGGGATTGCTTAAAGATATTGTGAAGAGGTTTTCTAAATTTTTTAAGTAGCGGGGACACTGAACAGCTTCAATTTGCAACGCGTTTTAACGTCACTAGAGGGGAGCTACCGGAAGTTACTATCTATCCAGTTCCCACAGACGTCGGAATGAAAATTTGAAGGTGCAAATTGATGCTATCGGTTTCCCCGATAAACATAAAAAGTTTAGAAAACCTCTTTACAATCCTTAATTGCACAAACATCTTCACAATGTCAAGCTGGTGCCATTACCTTGACTACAATAGCCACTACTTTTATCACGGAAGTTTGTTAATACAGCGAATTGATCAGATGCTACACTCTACCAATCAAAGCATGTAATTAAGGGCTAGTTATTGGCTGTATTCAGTAGCAAAAACCCAATCAAATTGCTGCAAATGCAAGCTTATGTGATAAAGATGGCAATTGCTGTCAAGGTATGAGACACCATTTGTTATGGCTGAATGCACAACATCTTCATAACCCTTATTCCACTTACCCCCAGTAATGACGTAGACCTCTGTGGGCTCGGATTTTCTTCAGTCTTTCTAAATCTTCTCGAAGTTTGTTATCTAAACCGTTAGACAAGATCTGGGAGAATTTACCGTCTTTAATATCTTTCTGTCTGTTTAAAAACCAGTCTGGTATTTTATATTGACGAGGGTTATTCATCACAGTTACTAGTCGCTCAACCTGGATAAATTCAAATCGTATCAATTATATAAAGTCGTAGTAAGGATGCTGTATCTTTAACTATTTGTAAAGGTGCAGGCACACGAGCAGTCTTGATTTTTTATAGTCTGCAAGACAGACCGTCATCATCCAATCAGATTCATTTTCCTTTCAATTGCATGCTCCTCACGTGATTATTGACAAAGTGGAAAACCACCAACTAGAGATTTTTGTCTCCTAGTGTGCCTGTAACAAGACTCTAGTCGGAGACAAAAATAGCCGACCGAGACTGCTTGGGTGCTCGCACCTTAAGGGCCTTTATCAATTGGGGTTGAATGTGCCAATAAATGTAGAGGCCGAATCTAGATATATATCTATGAAGGCAGTAATGTAGCTTGTTGGTTTCAATTTGAAATGATGGTTGCATAGAACACAGTGGTGTGTGGCACACTCATCATGAAACTTTCCAATAAGCCTGTTTTTTCATTCCATGTGCAGTCTGTAGCATACTGGTATCAAGCAATTTATTGACCTTTTTACATTCATGAACCCACTGGAGATGGAGAGAACAGTTTCTTGTTATCCAATGCAACAAATTTCAATGATAAACTTACATCTTCTTCAGAAAGTTCTCCAGCGCGTAATCTTAAATCAATATTAGCTTTTTTACACATAATATTAGCAAATCTTCTACCAATACCCTGAAATAAACAAACAGTACATTGACGAATTGAACTCACTTATTTTGGACACATACAATCACGATGGATTATTTATAAACAAGTACAAGATCATTTTACGCCCAAGATTGAGGCATTGTATAGTCATCCATCATTCGTGTGACGGAAACCACTCCTCATTTTCAGGCTAACAGAGCAAATATAACATCAGCATACTATTGACTATTCAGTCCTATATGTCAAAAATAAAGCGCACATAATTACCTTGACAGCTGTCATAGCGTACATGATTTTACGTTTACCCTCAATATTGGTATTTTGTATACGCAAAATATGCTGAAACTTCTCGGGGATTACCAACGCCTGCAAAGGTAAAGTCAACATATATTTGTTATTTCAATAACAGAATTGCCTTAGAATACTGTATAACTCTAACCTTATACCTTCATGGTATACAAATACTAGTAACCGACAAAAGCCTTGGCAAAGTTCAAAGCACAAACCAAATTAATCAAGTCCTCATCAGAACCAAGGGAATACTCGTGAGAGGAAGGTCTAGTCAACAATCATATTTTGTCATATTTAAAAAACTGATCAGAAATACTCGGGAGACACTCTCAACTCGTTATATTTCATACCATAAAATCTAATTTAGTCTTTTATGAAAGCGACCATAGAGAGAATTACTGAGTATTGACATTCTTTAATGCAGTTTCAGGGGCTTTTCAGGCGCCGTTGAACTCTAAAATGACTACATTATAGCAGATTAAATAATAAGGAAAGTGTATAATTAATATTAGATTGAAAATTAATCGGATGCATTGAGATTGATAAAGATTAAGGCGAAAGTTTATCATATTCACCCACCATGGTGGAAGTTTAAGCGGAAAAGGAAGTTGATATGTTTCTACGCATGCGAATTGGCAAAGAATGCAAGGCTATCTATTTACAGCATCGACTAAAAATATCGTCAATTAATGTGCACCGTACAAATTTACAAAATTGGCATTCTTCAATACTCTATATTTAAAAAGCCTTCAAATCAATCTCTTTTTATTTAAAACATAATCCAATATTATGCTGAAAATATTGAAGGCTGCCACAAGATTTAGAAGACAATTATGTTTGTCATTTACAAAAAGAAAATAATTTTTCGTCATTTCAGTGTCTTTCAGTGAACGTTCTTTATTGACGACTTTCCAATTTACACTTCCGGTAAAATCCAAGATGGCATCCTTAGCAGATGACAAAATGCTAGAAGATCAAAATAATGCAATTGATGATGTAAATATAAAACAATTTCAACATTTCTGCCTTCTCATAAACTCCAACTTAATGGTCTATGACTTCTGTGTAGTCCCAAGAAAATCGGATAAAGAATAATCCCGAAAATGTCCAATATCACTCTGTCGGCCTCCTGTCATCCTCATCAGATCATTCATAATTTCATTGAATCATTGATTGACTTTAACTTTCTCAGTCTCAATATCAGGCACTGATCAGGCCTTTAACTCTCAATGTCATTGAATCGCTTGTCTGTAGCTACAGGGTGGGGGGAGGGGATAGATTGCCCTTCTGAAATATTCTGACACCTGATCAATTCCAATAACCACTGGAATATAAAATTACATAAAAGATAAAGGTATGGAACTGAACACAGTGGTCGACGGCCAATTCTCAAAAGCGGACCTATAAGAACCTGTAAGAATTACTGAAGCTAAAATCCCACATCACTGCCCCTCCTGATATATTACTTTCTGTTTCGAACAATCAAATCTGGCTGATGAATTATGCATATAACTTTGTTACTTTCATAGATGATTGTCTGGTACAGTCAGTCATTGTAAATGTTTTGGAAGCCAATACCAAATAACCTATGCCTTTGTCGGTGACTTCATCCATTAACCTAATAAGTTATTGTCGTTTTCTTTCAACTTGCAGGGATCATGTGAAGTGAATTTAAATCTTGGAGATTTAGATCTGACTTCTGAAGATTTTCTTCTAGATGAAGTAGATGGTAAGTTGATGGCTTTATTCTAAAGTCTCTGGCTAAAAAAAAAAACGAAAAGGATCTAAAATCAGTCAAATTTAATGCAAAATTTTGCTCTACCCTAAGTTACTAGGCTGTATTTTGTGTGCTATTTGACACCTCCCCACATTCACTCTTGAACTCTCCCACACATGCATACTTCCTATCAAAATGAAACTGTATTTGAATTATTAGGAGAGCTCATTTGTATTATTAGGTGTAAAATCAATAAATCATAATTTTTCAGTTCATATTCAACAGAATTTGGAAGATGAAATTGTAAAGGAAGCTTTAAAAACAGTAAGACTTGTTACGTTTCTATGTTCATATATTGTTATCACTTTTTAGAAAAGAGAATATGAAATGAAATGAATTGAGTTTTATGTCCTACTTTTCTGCACCATGTTGGCTAATGAAGACAGGCAATGCCATGCAGGGTACAATGAGGGAAATTTTGCCAGGACAGCGGCATTCGCCTGCTCTTTTTCGATTTCCAATTGTTTGACGGATCTTTAACGTGCACAGCCTGTAGTACACAGGCCCTCAGTTTATTATCCCAACTGACAAGATGCTTTTTCCATGTTAGCCCCTTTTTCCTGCATCACTGACATGGGGAAACTGGGTTGAAAAATCCAAAGGTACATGTCGACCTATCCCGGGATTGAACCCTCAGGTTAGTGAGCAAGCATCTTACTCACGGAGTAGAAAAGAAAATGGCACTTGTCTTACTTTATAGTATCAAGATTAGATTAGAACTTTAAATATTAAAATATATGCGTCAAAGAGATTTTAATGGGATTTATCAGTTTTTGTATGTATGATGGAGAAAGTGTCTATTTACAATATGTTGTATGCTATATTTTTCTAATATTTATAATAATTATAGGGTGTTGATTTAAGACAATATTCTAAACAGATAGAAAAAGAACTGCTACAGGTTGAAAATGCCTCCATCAAAGACTGTATCCTTGACTATTTTAGAAGAAAGAATACTTCTTTGTCAAACTTGTTGAATTTGTTTTAGATTCATAATTCTGATACCTTTATGATAATGATTTAAACTTACTCTAATGTCTTGTCATTTGGTATGTTCAGTTTAAGAACCAGTACCAGTCCAAAAACTGTATTAAATTTTGAGTACTTTGACGTGGTGTTAGGGTGTTTTGAGACGAGTGTCAAAGAAAGCACTGGCCTAGGTCACAGAGCAATAAATAAGCTTATTATTTATGTGAAAATTAGTGAAGTCATTAGTATGATTGTAGTTGAAAAGACACACACAAACATACATGTACTCTGACATATAATGTACTGTATATAGCCATGACACCAGTCTAGTGTCACAGTGTGTTATATGATATGATGCTGGATTATGTTTGATTTAACTTTAACCTGATATAAGATATCAAAGAAAGTCAGAATATAGCCAGTTTACATAAACAGATCTCAGCTTGTGATACCATCTTACAGGTACGTTTCTCTTTTATTCTGATATAACCTTATAGAATGCAAGTATTTTTTTCTTGCTGACCATTAATTCTTGAACCATTCTGTCTCCCTTTCCAGTATACTTCTCATCAATTACTCACATTGATACATTAATATTGAAATAGAAAACAAAACCTAGGCCTGGTGAGGTAGAATTAACATGAGTTGATAATTTGAAATCAATGTGTCAAGACAGATGTCTGTAATAACCTATTTATGCCAGGTCAAACCCTTGAGAAAGTGCTTAATACACTGAGCTACAACATCTTCTCTGCAAATACAGAAGACTAGCTGAAACTTATATCTTGGTTTTAGTTTAGAGTCTTTCATCACTCATTAGAGAATGTAAGAGCCACTTATAAATATACTGTGATTATTACATAAGTATTGTTTAGTGTATCAATGCATCCCTTCAGACTAAAATAATTTCTGACCATTATAGAGAATGGAAGAGATGTTGAATGGGTTTCAAGGTGATTTAAGTTCTATTAGTAATGAAATCCAGACTCTACAGGAACAGTCTATAGCTATGAACATCAAGTTAAAGAATAGACAGGCTATTAGAGGAGAACTCAGTCAGTTTGTAGATGAAATGGTTATACCTGAACAGATGATCAGGTAAATACTCGTTAAAGAATAAGAATTGGAATAAATATAAAATTTTAATTCTTAAATTACCTTTGTACAAGATATCAATTTACGTGCTAACAATTTTTGGTTGGAAATTCCCAAAATTAACAGCCATTGCATAGAGGGGAAAAGTAATGAATTTCTTCACTTGAGATTCATGTTTAGCTAGCCTTCAGAAAAACACACACCAAAACCATCTTAATGTGATTGTTTGATCGTTGTTCAAAACCTCAGAAAATGTTTTAATATTTTCAGTCATATTCTACAGACGCCTGTAACTGAGAGAGAATTTCTAGAACAGTTACATGAATTAAACCATAAAATAAACTTTGTGAAAGAACAATCATTCCGTGAAGCGAGATCGTGTACAGATGTTAGAGATATTTTAGAGAAATTAAAGATTAAGGTATGTTGATTTAATTATTCAGTAATAATATTATAAATATCATATATTCATTGTTTTTAGAAGTAGATAAATTCAAATCAAAGTATAATGGCTACTGATTTTTCCACAATAATAATAGAATAAGATTTTTTTGTAGATTTTTTGATCAGTCTTTATGCAGTCAAATAGAATTAAAAATATAGTTTTCATTAAATTATTAAGCTTATATCAAGATAAGTTTGACAAATCTATATGTGAAAAGAAAATTCTATACAGATAGACTTGTCTTCCATTTTCAGGCTATAGCAAAGATTAGAGAATTCCTTCTACAGAAGATATATTCATTCCGTAAACCAATGGCTAATTATCAAATACCACAAAATACCATGTTAAAATTCAGGTAATATTACTTTTCTTGTAACCAGTCAGTAAAAAGAACATGCTATGAAGCAAGGATGTTTTTTTAAGTTAGTTTTTAAGAAAAATGAAAGAAATTAAACTGGAGTACTGACTTATAACATAACTTATATAAAAAATTCACTGTTCACCTTTATCTATTATATGAAACAAGTTTCAAAGTAAAAATTCTCTCTATAAATAATGAACATAACACGATTTGTTACAAGGTTTTTATTCTCAAAACAATCTTAGTGCTAGGATGTCCTAGGTTCTTATCTTCTAAAATTGATTCTAGGATATCCTAGGTTCATATCTTCTGACATTGATTCTAGGATATCCTAGGTTCTTATCTTCTAACATTGATTCTAGGATATCCTAGGTTCTTATCTTC